CAAATTGTCAATAGTACTTTAAAAAAATAAAGTTAAACATAAAAATGCTTTTAAAATATCGAAATTTTACTGGTAATGTCTACTATTTGTATTTCCAAGCAAAAATGATAAAGTCCGTCTACATTTACTTCAAATATTCTAGAATTCAGTTTTCTCAAACAAAACATGGCCCATAACAACGACATAGTTCTAATAATTTAGAATTCGAAGAACATAGAATCAAAATAATAAAAATTCAAAGAAAGTATTTTTACTTATTCCTAATATTTTTTGCAATTCAGAAGGTACTTTTCAACTACGATGCTTTTTTAAAGTTTGCTAACGTTCGAAATCAATATTTCGCGTGTGAACTTCTTCCTTCGTATTTAAAATTCTTCTAAACAACTAATCACAAGTGCCAAAAATACGCTTACGAGGCGAATGGCCGGCTCTATCGTCATGTTTAGGCATATTCGAGGTCTTTGCCCGTGTGCGAAGCTCATCCTTTTGTGAGCAGAGCATAATTTTGGCACGCGCGGGCCTCGTCGTTATGCTTCATCCTCTTGGTCCGATCCGAGCCGCGCCGAGCGCTGCTGCTCACCATAATCGTCGCTTGCACTTATTAGGGATCGTCCGTCGATCGTACGTCTAAAGTTAGCGTCGCGGCACTATTTCGGTGCGCCGCGACGCCGGGGCCGCTTGCCTATCGTTTTATAGGCAATTGGGTCAATTCTGGCGGACACCACAGCTTTCCCTGAAAACTTCGCCGAGTCGTTTTTGATTTTTATCGCGTTCTTTTTTAACTGACTTTGCTTTACGCTTCAACGGTATATTACTGAACGGAAGATTGTTTTTTCTCGTCTATAAATTATTTCACAAATTTTAGTTTCTTCTTGATTACTCGCGTTACCGATAAATCATTTATTTCTTATCCACTGGTAGAGCTTAAAATGCATTTCAATTACTTACGTCTGATTTAACAGAATTTAAAAGTAGATGAAACTTGAAATTCTTCTATCGTGGTAATAGATATGTCACGGTGACGTCTGAAAATATTATAGTCATCTTAAAATCAAATGCAAACAATCCACACGTCCGATTAAGTGGCAGTGTCTCAAGGCTTTAGTATTATCAACTTCAACATCGTAAATATGAACAAATAAACATCTAGTGAAATGTAACATTCCTACGTGGTTTCTGCGTATTATCTATATGTAATAATCCTACGTGTTAATGAAATCGACAAATACTACCCAGCAAACAACAACTAGGAACCAAGAACGGACGCGATTTCTGTTACAGAGAAATAAAATCGAGGAAGAAACAAAATGTGTGACGACGAAGTAGCAGCCCTTGTTGTCGACAATGGCTCCGGTATGTGCAAGGCCGGTTTCGCCGGAGACGACGCGCCCCGCGCCGTCTTCCCGTCGATCGTTGGTCGCCCTCGTCATCAGGGTGTGATGGTCGGTATGGGTCAAAAGGACAGCTATGTCGGTGATGAGGCCCAAAGCAAAAGAGGTATCCTCACCCTGAAATACCCGATCGAGCACGGTATCATCACCAACTGGGATGATATGGAGAAGATCTGGCATCACACCTTCTACAACGAATTGCGTGTGGCCCCTGAGGAACACCCAGTCCTTCTCACCGAAGCCCCCTTGAACCCAAAGGCTAACCGTGAAAAGATGACCCAGATCATGTTCGAAACCTTCAACAGCCCAGCGATGTACGTCGCCATCCAGGCCGTGCTGTCCCTGTACGCCTCCGGTCGTACCACCGGTATCGTCTTGGACTCCGGTGACGGTGTCTCTCACACCGTACCCATCTACGAAGGTTACGCCCTTCCCCATGCCATCCTCCGTCTGGACTTGGCCGGTCGTGATTTGACCGACTACCTCATGAAGATCTTGACCGAAAGAGGTTACAGCTTCACCACCACGGCTGAGCGAGAAATTGTCCGCGATATCAAGGAAAAACTTTGCTATGTCGCCCTGGACTTCGAACAGGAAATGGCCACCGCCGCCGCCAGCACCTCCCTCGAGAAGAGCTACGAGTTGCCTGATGGACAGGTCATCACCATCGGTAATGAGAGGTTCCGTTGCCCAGAAGCTCTCTTCCAGCCTTCCTTCCTGGGTATGGAATCTTGTGGTATCCACGAGACCGTCTACAACTCCATCATGAAGTGTGACGTCGATATCCGTAAGGACTTATACGCCAACACCGTACTTTCTGGAGGTACCACCATGTACCCCGGTATCGCTGACCGTATGCAGAAAGAAATCACTGCCCTCGCCCCATCGACCATCAAGATCAAGATCATCGCTCCCCCCGAGAGGAAATACTCCGTATGGATCGGTGGATCCATCCTGGCTTCCCTGTCTACCTTCCAGCAGATGTGGATCTCCAAACAGGAATACGACGAATCAGGCCCTGGCATTGTCCACCGCAAGTGCTTCTAAGCGTATCGTCGAGAATCCATCGACATCGCACGAACATCAAGAAAACACCAATCGACCTCAAGGAAATCGTCACTACAACCTGTCGAATTTCTTTGAGTTATCATATCGCTGCAATAAAGAAACGTTATCGGAATATTACAGAATCCGGATTATCATCAGATCTCATCGAATATACATCGTTGTGGTCATGTATATCATTGTAACAAAAACAATGTTCTGGCTGGACCACACAGTTAGAACCCTTTAGTTGTTTGTAAGGGTTTACATTCATCCGTCACGTCATTGCGGCCGAGGAAACCGGCGTAGGTGTGGGACCTCGATACAGAGCTGACTCGTGGATGGCCATTTCTCGTTGAGTATTGAAATGGGGTTCGTTAACGATATTAGACCGTTTAACCTACCTACCAAATGCATCTTTTGACCGTGAAAGGGACATTCTGGGTACACAAGAAAAAAATCAGGAACATCAACGGGAGTGAACCAACTTCGGTGGAAGCTTCGCTTGTTTCACTGTTATGCGAGATTCCTACACCTCCAATGAATTTCTTAATTTCAAAGCAATGTTACCATCAATACACTTCTAATTTTAATTTATTTTGTAAATATTATACACTATATTACTATATATTGTTATACAATGTCAAAAAGTCAAATTAAATATACATTGTCTCATACCATTATTTACACCTTTTGTCTCCACTGTTTTCAATTATTTGTTCGTACATCATCTTCGTCTTTGAGGCATCTCGTTTTTCAAGTTTCTATCGTATAACCGCAAATCTTGATTAAATTTATTGGCAAATCTGCAACATACATCACTATGTTAGCACACGTACACTCAGATGTGATGTAGACTTCTTTTGGCAAATAATGAATGTGAGAGGTGGAGTTTTACGACACTTGGCTTGGGGGAAGGAAAACCGAGGAATGATCCTAATATATATAAATATTCCCCTTACATTTTTCTTTAACCAAAGGAAGCCTAAGTTGCATACAGTTGTATATGGACGATTTAAAATTAATTCATATAACTTTTGTGCGGTTTTTTCTCATATCTTTAATAACTCGGCGCGGTGTACGATATTAGCTGCCAATATTTGAAAACTTAGTAACCAAGTTTGGGAAATAAGTAATCGAATACTGCAATACGTGCCCCATAAAAACACAACAAATGTGGCTAAACGTTTAATCGCATATTTGCATGTTAATTGAATGTCAAGCGTTTATATGCATTTTTCAATTAGCTACGTTTCAACCTTGATATCAAACGTGTTTCACGAGGATCGTAAAGAAGTGTACAACCACATTCCTGTACTTTAAAAGAAACATAGATTGCCGTTTTCTTTACGATATCGAAGCCCGAATATGTATTTGAGAAGAGCCGAAAACCGGCGTTCAAAATGTTTTAAAATAACTATTGTTGTGACGTCGTGTTAACTCATGACCTTGGCCTATTATGACTAATCTACTCCTGAACGGTTCCCTTTGCTATACGCTTTACCCGAACCCACAGAAATGCTTCCCAAAAAAAGTCGGACTTTATTTTTCGACAGACTAATTTATAACTGTCGACACTGCTAGGAGGCTTCGTAACTTTCTGTGAAAAATATTTCATTGCATTCCACGAAAGCCTTTTCCGTCAATAAGGTTCGCCAGAGAACAGGGTTGGCTGATATAAGAGCCGCAGATCCTGTGTTTTATTTTCGTCCCGGTGCGTAATCTCGAAATATTCCTCCTACTCTGATATCTGGTACAAAGAAGAGAATCGGGAGTATCGTGCAGAGATCGAGCTTTATACGGTGTCAGCCTCAGAATTAACACGTCACGACACATTAACTTTGTAACACCGACCTTTATAAATTTATTTTAACATACGTCTCCCTGTCCACCTTCCAACAGATGTGGATTTCCAAACAGGAGTACGACGAGTCCGGCCCAGGCATCGTTCACCGCAAGTGCTTCTAAGCAGTTATGCTCGATTCAAATTATTATTAATATCAATATTGTTATTGCTACACCTTTTCCCAAAATGCACCGTTCACTGCCGTTTCGCTTCGTTTAGTTGCGTCTCCGTTAGTTCAATCCTATCGGCACTGTTTCTATGTGGCGGTGAGATTTTTTCCGACGAACATGGTCTGAACATATACGTCATCTTTTGTATATAAGTTTACATCTACGGAATAAATCAGTCTTATATTCTTACAACGAATCAAAAAGTAACTATTCATTTTGTGATTCCCTGAACGAAAGTTAAAATGTTTGAAAATACTAATTGACTTCCACTTACAGTACACCTTTAGTGTACTGCATTGAATCGAATTATGAAACGTTGCATCCTTTTAGTTGGCTGGTCTAATCAAAATACTATTCGTCACTGTGTTATGATTAAAATGCATTATATTAAAAAATGGGTCGGTCAAGTAAATGACGTGCATTTAAGAATTGAATACAATACACATTAAGGGTGAATTGGAAAAAGGGGGGTAGGTTCGGTTACTATACACCGATAATTATACAAAACGAGAGAAGTAAACGGAATACATGGTTTCGGTACTAAACAAAATTTGTAGGATACATTTTATTAAATTCTTGTATAAAAATCACTCTAATGGCACTCGTACTTTGTATATACATGACATATACATATTTTGAAGGGGGTAGTATGCATCATCTACCATGCATGGGAGTTGAATCATACGTGGGGATAAGTCATTCCTTCTACCAAAATTACCGGGAATATCCAATTTGGCTCCTTCGAATTTAGCAAGTATAGATGCACCCTCATTCAGGAACAGATCCCTGTATACTGTTGGCTTGTTCCTTTAGTGTAGTCCAGATCTTGAGTGTTTGATTTGTTTGATTCCCTCAAATTTCAATAGCTGCAACATTTTTATTTCTTTAATATAATTTCTAACTCACACTTATAAAAAATTTGATTTGACATCTGGTATGAAATTGTTAACTGAAATGTTCAGTTATTTCTGTCTGATTGGTGTGCAAACAATTGTTTTGATTTTTCAAAACTCGTTCAATTTTCCATACATACACATAAAGCAATATTTTCCTTCATTAAAATTAAATTTCAAAACGAAGCTATTTAAATTCTAAATTAAACTTTTTTACGCGTCCAAGTAAAAATCATGCGTTAAAATATAACTTAAGATCTTAAATGCCATTTTGTCAGTTAGCTTCATGCTGTTATATTACTATTTAATTTAGCAAGCAGATAAGAATCGTTTAAAAAATATTCTGATCCAACATTCGTTCATACATTGAGGAAAGATATTTATCACCTGTGATTGTTCCATATCTTGTCATCCTGCTGCACTTGCGAACTTTTCGTAAAATCCACTACCACGTACATGTATACGGAATTCCATGTGGAAGCTTCTTTGCAATATAGACGTGCCGTTTCGGGGTTGATACTCAGCAATGCGAATCTGCGATTTGGTCCGATGGTTCAACCGTGGCTCTAGCGAAAATGTGGAGGGGATCGGTGGTGGCTCGAGCTACGTCGTCGCCCCGTGCACTCCCAATTATAGAAAGCAGCTTATTCGTATACACCCAGGACTTCTCAAACTTTTATGGACCGATACCTACTTTTAAAAACGGTCATTCTTGTGACCAAATCGCTTATTATGCGTTATATTTAAAAATCCCACAATTCCAAAATTTTAGTCTTAAAATGCAAAAACTCCTAAAAGTCTTAAAGTCCTCCAATTCATACATTTTAATATTCTAAAGTCTCAAACACCTTAAGTTCAAGTGTTCAAAAATTCAATGAACAGAATAATAATTTTTATAGATTCACTTATCTGCATATGTTTGAAGGAAAATGGGGGTTGAATAAAAAATATTAATGCTTCAAAACTGTGATCGACTAAAAAATCGAACCACTTTCGCAATCGTAAATTGAGACTTTCAACATTGAAACTGACTTCGTATGTCGGCCATAATTTAGATTTTTATCATTGGCACGATGCGTATGAAAATATACGTTTATGATCATAAATGATGGATCGAAATGTATCCACCTAGCCGTGTTTTGACAGTTAGACTTTGATTCATTCCCACAAATTCTTTAAATTCGTGAAATGACACTAAATTCTTGCTACTTTTATTCTTTATAAAAATGTAATTATTTATAACTTTCATAAACCTTTGAAGCAAATATAAGTAGGTACTAACAAATTATCTAATTTTTTTTTAATTAAGCATGAGATTGAAATTTTGTATCTGTTTCAAATTGATTATAATTATAACTCGCGTATCCCAGATGAAGGTGTATAGATTGTACATTCATCAAGAACATTTGTATGCACTATTTTCAGCATAAACGAGTGACTCAGAGTTCTCCTATTAGCTGAATATACATATAGACCTAATTCAGAAACATCATAGTATCAAAGGAAATATTCATTCTTGCATGGGTCTATAAATAATTAAGGAATTGATTTATCGAGTGCCTTTTATGTGGAATATACGTCATTATCGTCGTAATTCTTGCACTGATCATCCATTCTTCAATTTAAAACAAATTTTAAAAAATATGTACCAATTTCCTGTTAGGAATTTTAATTTAATTTAATTTAATTTTTTATTTAAATGATTTAATCTTAATTCTGTTGGAAATCATTAACTGAAAAATAAATTTCATGATTTTTATATTAAAAGATTAACTCGTCTTAAAAAAGTATTCATGAACACATTTATGCGACAAACCTTTTTTTTATATTTAGAAACCATAATTTAAAATAAATTATATGAAATTAATTATTCTCATATTGACTAAATTTCAATCATAAATAATTTCACTTTCGCAATTAATAATTTAACATCGATTACACAATTGTCATATTAGTCGAAAGTGATTTGTGGCTTTCGCCTTCGATAATAAAATGTGATATCAATTGATCGTAAATCAAATTAAATTCAGTTATATGAAAAGTTTCATGAAAATTTGTATGCAATTAGAACAATTTTTTTTATAAATAGTATCTAAATATAGATTATATAAAATAAAAAAATTTCCATATTAAATCAATAATAAAATTTATAATTTTCATGTCAGTTGATTACACACGAATTTTAGCTGAATTTTAAAAATGTTCTTATTCGTGAAAACATTTATCCAAGTAACAATTTTTTGTTATTAATTATGTGAGACTTATGATGCAAAACTTATAAAATCAATAATCAATTTCATCATTATTATATTAATTAATATTTTTAAAAAGAACCGAAGAAAATATTTCTGCAATTAACTACTGTTTTGCCAATCATCGTTTTACATTATTACTTCTCAGAATCATCATATTAAGTCAATAATAAAACGCATAGCTTTAATATTAATTGATTACAAGTCAATCTTAACTCACTTCTAAGAAACTTAAATTTACATATACATACGAGTTTCGATATCCTTATCAATTAAGGAATTATACGATAAAGAAATTGCTTATGAAAATATTTAAATAGCTAATCATAAATCATTTTTCTTTTGTGAATCAAAATCTAGCGTTAATTATATAGACTTAATCGTTCCTACACTAGCTCAAAATAATAATTTTAAGACTGACCAATTTTTAGACGAACATACTACTTCGCTTTCATAAATTATAATTTAATATAAATTATGAATTTCTTAATCTTTATATTAACTTAATAACAAAACAAAGTTTACAATCTGCATAATAATTAATTTTAAATAAATTTTAATTCACTTTTAAAAATTTTCTCATAAATATTTTATATAATTAAACAAATAGTTTTTTATTTGTTATTTAATGCCGTTTATAATCATAATAATTTTTATATTAACTCGCTAACAAATTTCATAACATTTATATCAATTAATTTGAAATAAATCTGAATTCACTTTTTAAAAATTACTCATTAATATCTTATGTAACTAATTAAATAATCAAAGTAATTAAACTATTTTTTACTTGAATTTTACGATTCCCATAGATTTCATAATCTTCATATTGATTAGTTTAAAGTAAGTCTTAAGCTACTTTTAAAATGTACTCACGAATACCTTACGTAACTTATTAAATTCCCATATTAACTTAAGAATAATGTGTCAGTATTTATACCAGTTAATTTTCAATAGATTTTACTTTCTTTTAAAAAGTACTTAGACAAATCGTTACGCGTTCAAATCATTTATGAGCATCATAATCTTCACACTAATTCGATAATAAATTTCATAATTATTTCATTTATTAATCTCACATAAATCTTAACTCAATTTTAAAAGGTAGGTACTTAACACAATCTTTACGCACCTAAACTATTTTTTTATATCACACTAATTTAACATCAATTAAATGGAACTTCATAATCATCACAAAAGTGAACTTTTATAAAAGTCATTTCATGTAACCTAACAGAAATATCGAAAAATTAAGTGAACCTAACCTCGCCGGTACATAAGTCCGAAATTGTCACTGACAAAGCAAGGCAGAATCGATGATAACATCGATGCCCTTCGACCCTTGGTGAATTAGCACCCGAAGAACGACGTCCCTGGCGTGTGACGAGTCCTTATTTGGATTGGGGGGCCGTCAGCCGCCGTCTCGTCGCGACGCACAGCGTCTCTCCCTCTCGGCGTCACGGTTAGGGCGGCTAAGGACTAGGCGGTGGCAGCGGGCTGAGACGAGTGTTAATGCACGATAGATTTCCATCTAAGGGGCGGATCGCTATTTTCGGCTGCGAACCGATATGGATAAAGGGACCCCACAGAGCCGGCACAGTGCCACTCGCCGCTCTCGTTCTCTTGCACGACGTACGCCCTAAGCGACCGTTGCCGATCTCTCGTCATTAGCGAACGGTAAATCGTAATCGAGTTTGTGTTTTGCATCCTAAGGCAACATGCGCCGGTGTGCTTTCGCCTTGATCGTTCGATCGAGACGGGGGTGCACACCGGACTGCTCTTGGTCCTCTCGGTTTAGAAAACGGATAACAGTGCATAATAATATTCTATTCGAAGCTCGATAAGGTGCAATTCGTCGCGTTTCAGTGATAACGTAACGGAAATTGGTGTCAACCGTGTTTAGGACCTAGCAGTTGATCGATTGAGATTCTTGTTGCTCGATCATGCATGTCTGGGAATAACTGTGAAGTGACTCTGATTTCTGTGTTTCGTTTTCTCTTTAATACAGTAGATACTCGTTATATTGCCACGTACGGAGCTATAACAATGAAAAATTCTTTAATTGATCGAACAGTTTTTTTCTTTAACATTTAGGGTGCGTAAGGGGAGACTTTAGATACTCCGTAACATTTGATGTTTCCATAGAAATAAATGTAGTGAAGTTTAGTATAGCATCACGATTCCGTACAATATTCAAATACCAGAGAATACACTTTAGTGATCTTATTCCGTCGCTTACGTTTCTATTATCATCTTCATATACTTTCAAAGTTAATATTGCGAAGGTTTCCGTGAATTCCGTGTTCTACAATGATGGAATGAAACTATTGGTGTGTATGAAAGTTCATATAATGGTGGCACTGTAACGAGAGTCTACTATAGTTCTTAACTGCTATTGTTGATCACAGTAAATATTTTCTTTTACGATTAACGATTGTATTTCTATTTCTTTCCGAGAAAACAAGGTTGCTTTATTAGGAACGATTGATTGAGCTGAAACGCTTAATTGGAATATTTTATTAATTAGTTAAATTTCTGCTTTGACACGTTTGCAGCCAATATTTGTTTAGAGATTCTTCATAGGCCACTTCTTTTTTCATAAAATTAAATTATTTGTCAAAGTTCGATTTTCATTTATTTTAAACCGTATATGATAAAATCATAGTCTCCTGAGAAACCAAATCCGTCGCTAGCATGTGATACCGGTAGCAAACGTGTCAATAACTGATTGGTATTGTATTTATTAAAATTATTAGCTACAGTGCATACCATTCCACATTTGCAAAAGTTTATTAAAACATTAAACACCTTATTTTTAATTGTTCATTATTAACAACTAGTTAAATAAATAATTGACTTTTTCATTACTAAGTGATCGCTATCTACTAAAAGTGATTATGGTAATTCAGTACCAATCATCGGTCGCATTTGAAAAAATAATAAACAAAAAAGAATAACAATGAAATAAAATAAGATCAAGCAACCTGAAATTACTAACCGGCCTTGTATTACTGTAACAAAAGGATTAATTTATTTTTCTATTCTTTAAAAATTCTTATAAAATAATATATAAAATAATTCTTATTAAAAATAAAATTCTTATATTTCACTATGCACAATCTAACCTAACACAAGCTTCAAATTATTTCTAACTTTCTGCAAACAAAAAACTGCTAACTGCTTAACATCTAATTATTATACATATATGAGATAATTCAAAGATACAGATTCTCATATAATTAATTTACTTCTAGCTTGAAATTTAGATATTTTACTAACTTAAACTTCAAATTACCTATAATTAATTAACTTTTAGTTAAACAAAAATCTACTAATCTAATTACCGTACGTATTAGTAATGATTATAAAATTCAAATTTTTATGTGCCAACTTTATTTCTAGCAGAAAGTAACGCTAATAATCAAACAAGATGTGTGATGATGATGTTGCGGCACTAGTAGTGGACAATGGGTCCGGTATGTGCAAGGCGGGATTCGCTGGAGACGACGCCCCACGTGCCGTCTTCCCCAGCATTGTTGGCCGCCCACGTCATCAGGTTGGTAAAAATTAAAAACTATGCCTAAATACAGTAAATTTTCACCATACTGATGCCAAAGTATCACCGATATCTCTAATAACCATTCTAGGGTGTGATGGTCGGTATGGGTCAAAAGGACAGCTACGTGGGGGACGAGGCTCAGAGTAAAAGAGGTATACTTACTCTAAAGTATCCTATAGAACATGGCATTATAACTAATTGGGACGACATGGAGAAGATATGGCATCATACCTTCTACAACGAATTGCGAGTAGCCCCTGAAGAACATCCAGTACTTCTCACCGAAGCTCCTTTGAATCCGAAAGCTAATCGTGAAAAGATGACCCAGATCATGTTCGAAACCTTCAACAGCCCAGCGATGTACGTCGCCATCCAGGCCGTGCTGTCCCTGTACGCCTCCGGTCGTACCACCGGTATCGTCTTGGACTCCGGTGACGGTGTCTCTCACACCGTACCCATCTACGAAGGTTACGCCCTTCCCCATGCCATCCTCCGTCTGGACTTGGCCGGTCGTGATTTGACCGACTACCTCATGAAGATCTTGACCGAAAGAGGTTACAGCTTCACCACTACGGCTGAGCGAGAAATTGTCCGCGATATCAAGGAAAAACTTTGCTATGTCGCCCTGGACTTCGAACAGGAAATGGCCACCGCCGCCGCCAGCACCTCCCTCGAGAAGAGCTACGAGTTGCCTGATGGACAGGTCATCACCATCGGTAATGAGAGGTTCCGTTGTCCGGAAGCCCTCTTCCAGCCTTCCTTCCTGGGTATGGAATCCTGTGGTATCCACGAGACCGTCTACAACTCCATCATGAAGTGTGACGTCGATATCCGTAAGGACTTATACGCCAACACCGTACTTTCTGGAGGTACCACCATGTACCCCGGTATCGCTGACCGTATGCAGAAAGAAATCACTGCCCTCGCCCCATCGACCATCAAGATCAAGATCATCGCTCCCCCCGAGAGGAAATACTCCGTATGGATCGGTGGATCCATCCTGGCCTCTCTGTCCACCTTCCAGCAGATGTGGATTTCCAAACAGGAGTATGATGAATCCGGCCCAGGCATTGTTCACCGCAAGTGCTTCTAAAATGCTGCACCCAATACAGGGTTTCACGATTTTTGACTGCTTTCTTTTCTTTTTGTTTTCTTTCCGTGCTCACAATTTTTCGAGCCGTGATCTCTCCACACACAGAAATATATTGAGGTTAAGGAGAAGAAAGGGAGAAGAAGGTAGAAAGGGGGGAGGGAAGTACAAGGTTTGGAATACGAAAATTACTGAAGTGCCTTTATTCAACACATTTATCAGACTGTACTTTAATTTGTAGTTTATACAACACGACTGTTTGTTATTACCGTTACTTAATTTATTGATATTATCCTCGGTCATTTTGCAACGAGTCCTTTTCGGTCTTATAAATATGTATTACGCAGATTCACATGCACTATACATACACGCACACGCATAAATACAGGCTACATAATTGAATCCGTACGCGCACGTAATATTTTCTTTTTGGCATTTGTAACACACACGGGGTGATAAACGACGAGAGTGAAGTATACGATGGAGTACCGTAACCAGGCGCATCGACGTCGGCTCATATTGCTGCCTGGCGTATTGTTCTTATTATACCATATGATTAATGATAATAAAACTGTATTATATAATAACTCGATGTCGGATTATGTGAACCTTATCGTGTGCTATATCTCTAGCGAAAGTTCAATATGATGATATAATGAACTCAAATAAATTACCATTTAATTACCGATTAGAAGGAATTTGAAAGAAGTATTGTGATTTAGGTTTCGATGGTATTTAACTTCAGATGCAGTCTACTCTGGTAATCGGCCAATAGATGTGTAACTTTAAGTAATTATCTATATTTTTTATTTGTTTCAAGATGGTAGAAGGTTACGCGACAATTTTTATATAAACGTAACTTTTGTCTCATTGTGAAAAAATCAGTCGACGAAAATCAATTTTATCGAAAATTTTCACATTCCCCTATGTCATAAATCAATCGCACTAGCAACTTAGATGTAGAAATAGTTTCTACAAACTATAGCTGCTCGTCTCTAACGTTTACAAAGATATTAGTAGCCAATTAAATGATCACGGTAAAATTATCTTGAAGATTGAAATAATTAAATTTATCGGCTCTCCGCAAGATTTATGCATCATCCTTAACAGTTTAGTTCTTACTAGGCAAAAGCTTTCCGATTTATTCCTTCGTTTCCTCACGCGTATCTTCGATGCCAATTTTTTATTTCTGTACAAATAAATACTTGTTTCTCGTTATATAATTCTCCTCCACTGTAATAATATTCATCACAATTCTCGTAAATGTCTTTTGAGAAACAGCGTCGGGTCTTTTTGATCTCCGACGCGGAGACAGTCGAGTTTAGCCCTTTCCTTGAAGGAAATGCTACGACCAAGCCGTAACCCAACACGGGCGGCAAACTGTGGTACAAATAAAGAAATAGCAAAAATAGAGTTGTTGGTAGTTGTGGATGCTTAACGGGGAGTGCATACCGGGGGTCCCCGGATTACCTCCTAGCCTTACAAGGCCCCTGAGTGACTTACGCTTATTCTGACGCTTCGATGACTAAAATTAGAGCCCGCACTCTTTGGGACGCGTGTGTGCACCTGCATGGGGTGGACGTGCGCTAGTTTAGACTAACTTTATCGTACATCATTTCTCTTCGCCAGTTAAACAAGCAGTGAAAATGTTAAGATTGAGAAATGGACGACGATTGATCGAAAATCCAGAAATCCCAACTAATAGAAACGTTAGGTCTAGATTATAATCTCTCTCTCTTTATATTCAATTTATGAAATTTTATTTTTATTGGTTAACGTTGAAAAATTCATTTCTTTTTTTCACAAACGACAAGATCATTTACGAGGAAATTACATATTATTCTTCTTCTAAAATATTTCTTTTTATTTAAATAAATAAAAAATAATAACAATAATGGAACCAATAAAAATGAAAAAAATAATGATTTTAAATATTGTTTCGTTTACAGCACCATTATAGGGAATATTTTGCTTAATATTTAGTTGCTTTACTGACTTTCTTATAAGATAAGATTATAAACAAGAAAATTACGTATTATTCTTTCCCTAACATATTTGTTTCTTCCTAAAGTACTTTTAAATTCCAATGAGTCAAAATTAATTAACAGATACTTCAGCATCGCTGTAGGAAATATTTCAGTTTATTAATATTAAATATTAAATATAATTATATTTTTACAATTTTTATTTTGAACCCTCTTTCCGGTAACTTTCATTAAAACACAATGCAGATGAAACTTCTTGGCGTTATTATAAAGATCAGAACAGTACAATCTGAAGAAATATACATATAATACTAGAAGTAACAAATATAATCGTTACTGCTACTTCATTTTATTTTTGTAGCCACCTATAAATTTCGGAAAACTTTTATGAGATCCTTTAGAATTAAACATATTGTTAAGTGTTGTTTGATTTAAAACTAAAATTAATGGCTTAAATAACAATTAAACTAACTAAATGATATGTTTTTGGCGTATTTTGTATGATAGAAAAAAAAAACAGTATTTTAATGAATTTCAGTAAGCTTTTATAGAATTCTTCTAAAATTCTAAAAATTTGATAAATAATCTTTAATCTGATAATATGTGACAAATGCAAAATTTTCTGTGCAACAAATTTCAGTTACATTAAGTACTTTTATCAATTATTTTAGAAAGTAATTATTAATCTTTTAACTGTATGCAAAAGATGCAGTTACACACTATTATAAATACTTAAAATATCTTTTAGGAAAATTAATAAAAAATAATATACAACAAATTTCAAAGTTTAATTTTAAAGTTTATTATTTTTCTAGTTTAGTTTTATTTCTATATAACTAATAAAAACCACTTAAATTCTTAATAAAAGTGTAAATTTCATTTGTAACACCCTGCTTAACGTATTCATTGCCTTACAATTTAAGTAAACATTTCAAATTCGAAATTAAAAATTGAAATATAAGTAGATTTCTTTTAAAATGTGTAAATGTAAAGTTTATGCAAATTAAACATCAAGATAATTTATAAAAAAAATATTAAAAAATTTACTCTACGAGATTTAGTGAAAAATCGCTGAAAAATTAATTATAACTACTTAAAATCGTATAATGAAATTCATATTATTCTTTCTCTGTTCTAACAATATATTCCAATAAATAAAAAGGATGTACTCTCATCAAATATTCAAAAACGTTTTTATAAAATATTATTATGGATGATGCATAGCTAAATCTAATAATATTAGGTACATAATTCAAGATATTTCAATAACTACCGCGATATGAATTATTATACGCTATTTGCCGTCAAATAGTAGAACCAAAATTCTATAGTAAACAAGAATGAAAGTCATTACTTTAAAAATATATATCTTATTGTCAAATATGTAATACCATGTTCATATATATATTATTATTACGTCCGTGATAATTACATAAATACCTACACAATTTAATTAGTTATTTAATTTATTATTTAATAAAGTGTCGTTCTTGTCATTTTTATGTTTTTTTTTTATCGACCTTCTATAAATAACACTAATGTGTTTATATAATATAATTATATATAGCCTTTTCCAAGTTTTATTAAATTTACAATTTTTTTAAATATCTTTGGATAATGAAGGAAACCTACATTTGCTATAGAAGTGCTTTCATGCATGAGCAGATGTGTTTATATTATTTTTACTAAAATTATTAATGTTGCTCCATTTTCATTCAATTAATTTTAATTAATAGAGCAATTTTTATTCAAACACCGTAAAATAAAAGAGTATTGATCTAAACATACCAACACTATTTACAAAAGACGGATTAAAAATACAAGTTTTAGAGAATGCACATTATTATTGCTATTTTTTACAATAATTAATTATTTTTATTTATAAAGTATTATTCTAATATACATATAATTCTATCGGGGTTAAAAAGTCCTGCATATGTACTACAATGCGATATATAAAATAACGAAATGATGTTATTTGCATATAATTGGACACACTTTGTTTGGAAAAAAGTAAAAATATTCTAGTTTGTACAATTAATATATTATTTTTATTTAAACATAACATAAAACAAATTACATCGTATGAAATTTAAGTAATTTTTTATTTGAATTAATCAACACGTTCAAATAAAACAAATAATTTGACATAAAGAATTATGGTTGGATTATATGTATACTTCTTATTTTATTTAAATAAATTTCCTTCAAATATGTCAAAAATATGAAAGCAGTTTTTATTCAAAAGTAAAATTACTTCAACAAGAATTTTTTCAAATATAAAATAAAAAATTATTTCATTGTATTACCAAGTTATTACTTTTAATATTCTAATATTTTAATATTCTAGAAAAAAAAATTATTAACATCCAGCCAAATAAGATGATATATTATTCAAATAATCAATTTTTAAATACATATATTATTTAAATATCGTTATTATCATATCGAAATATTACTATAAAACACACATCAAATATCTTATTTGATTTAAAATATGAAATTTTCAGTTATAGCTGAATCTAAAAGGCCCACAATAATTCACGCAGTAAAGACAAAATGTTTACACAGATCCATTTAAAAAATCGAAGTAATATATATAAATAAATTCGTATCTTCTAACAATAAGAAGTTCTATACATATAACAGAACATCCTTATCATCGATAAGATATTGCATACAAAGCAATTTTTTTTTACAGTTTTTCTTCTATTTTTTATAGAATAATTTGTCAGAATAATTTTTCCTATGTAAATTCAGTATTTTTACAATTAAAGAAACTGGTATGACCCATAAAGCGCATATATGTATTGTACATATGCTGTAGGTGCATACCTGTAATGTCAATCATTTTATAGGACTCTACGTTTATAATACGCATGTGTCATAACAAAGGTATGTAGTGAACTTCTTTATCAACAAAAAGCGAACAAAAAATTTCCACGTATTTAACTTCGTTCAGAAGATAAAGTATCACCTACTTATATTACGTGCATAGTGCCGAACAAGAAATTCATTCAAGTATAATATAATACAGTGCATTATTGCAAATATCATGTAAATTTTTGAAGAATTATGATTATCATCACAATCATGTGCAACATCGTATTAAAACGGACAAATGGAGCAAATTATGGAGAAAGAGATTATCGTCCTTTTTAAAATATAATTGCATTGTCATGTAATAAATAAAAGGAAGTAAAATGTTGGTAGAAATTAACGTGCTAACAAGAAAAAGGAAAATAAGTTAGTGAACTGTAAATATAACGTGTATGAAACATCTCACGTTCATACAAAAATTGTAAATCAAAAATGCAGAGGTTACATGATACAACATTGATATGTTAATACAAGTAGCACAGAATTTAAAAACGTAAGATATATTTTACAATGTAATTAAAGTGTTATCTGTATATTAAGAATCTGTTCAATCTTTTTGTATGTATTTGCTACTATAGAAACATGTGGTTTCATACTTTATTGACCAGAAACGCCAGTTGGCGCTCGATATAAATAAAATAATTCATCGAAAAGTAATAAAAACGATAGTTTTTAAAATTTAACAAATATATTACAAGTTATTTTATGAATATTATTTTATTGAATTCAGCAAATTATGTGTTAATATTATGTATAAATAATGCTTTTGTTAAGTCTTTTATATTTATAGTGGTTTTTATTTTATTAAATTATTTTAAACTATATAATGATATACAATTCATAACAATATAGCAAATATATTTTTACATATAAATTTTCTTGACCTTACAGCAAATGTTTTTAAGGAACGTTTAAATAGTAATAATACTGAAAATAATTAAGTCTTTTAACTTTCATAAAACAATTTTTCAAATGATCTGATAGAAATAAAAAATGATATTAAATATAACTAACATTTAAGGAATGCATATTATTTTTTAAATATAAATTATAGGGTCACTAATGTCTACGACTGAAGATGCATCTAAATATTTTCTAATATATGTTTTCTAGTATTTCTAATATTATATAAAGTCATGAATTTATAAATTAGTAATACTTACTTCTATGAAAACATTTGAATTTAGAAAAACGAAACTTTTATGTTCCATATTAAGAATACAGATCCAAAATTTAATTGTAATTCAATTGAGAAGCTCGATTGAAATTCATATTAATTTTAATTATAGATTTAGTTAACGAAAGTGAACTAAATGATTACAGGTTGACTTTACCCATTTATCTTGTAGAAATACTAGTATTTTAAAAAATCAAGATATCTGGTTAATAATGTGTTGTATAACTTAATGTTTTCTATTACTCAATAAGTTGACAGTGCAAACAGAATTATATTAAATTAATTAATTGTTGTAATATTTAATTTAATGTAATTTATTGTTATAATATTGAATATGTTCTGCAACTTGGTTTATAAGTTTCATAAATTTCAAATTAAAAGTATAATACAAATATTTCTTTTGCAGATTGATATTATATCAGCACAAAATGTAATGTTAAATTATTATTATTATTATTGTTATTATTAGTAAATCATACTTACAATGGGGAAAATTATACCAATGAGCTGGTTGAACCAGATGTTGTTGATTTTAAGTATATTATGTGTATCGTTATCTTTAGTCATACAAGAATGGGCAGGTCTCATACCATTACCAATTTATATTTCTATATCATGGGCTATTTTTATTATAATAATATCAATATGGCTTAGTTGTTTTCTACTTCAACTTACTTTGAAAGCAAATAATCCACTTAAGATCAAATTTTTTCACAATTGGCTATATCGAAAACTGGCAAATAAGTTGAAGCTATGTAAATTGGAGAAAGAAGGTGAATGCAATAATGAATGTGAACGTAAAATGACAAGTCAAAATATGAATTTTGGACAAGCCACTAATGAAAAAAAAACTGACAGTGTCTCAAAGACCAAGAAATTACACAACAAAACAGTTAAATCTGGTGCAAATGGTACTTCTTCAAAACGTAAAAAGAATGAAGAACTAAATAATTTAGTAAAAGAAATAAATTTAAAATGTATAAATGTTTGGTATAAATCGATCAGTAATGAGAAATCATTTCCTAATGAAACACAAGAATTATTAAAAAAATTATTGACCAAATTGTTTTATAGAATCAGTTTAATGGACAAAGTGAAATTAACTCATAAATTGTCAAACGTGTTCTTATTACATTTAAAAGAGTATTACAGGTATGACATTTCATATAGTATTTTTTGTAACGTAAACTTATTATCTATACTCTTTTTTTTTTTTTATATTTTTTACAGAGCATTACGTAGAGTCGAAAAAGGAACGGCTCCAAGTATAGAAGAAGCATTCAAGTATTTACATCCTGGTTCTCGTAGTACAGCAGCATTAGAACATATGCTTCATCAAATGGTCACTATTTTATCAGAGGAATTTTTACAATGGGAATTAACAAGCTCATTACCATGTAAAATATTATTGTCTGTATTAGCAAAGAGATTATTATTAGTTATAGAAACAGTTAGTTCTCCAAACTGGCTGTTTCAAATTTTGTCAGATCTACTACAACCAATGCCAAAAGAAATTGCTGAAGTTCAAAATAAACAGGGAGCAGGCACACTATATACTAAAGTATACTTACAATTTTCTTAAAGCTTTTCTTAAAATTTCTTAATAATTATAAGCTAATAACATGGTTATTTTAGAAAATTATATCCAATGCTCTATCTGATGGAATAGCATCTGCGACAGCAGCTGTAATTCCACGGCCACTTCCAAAAACCGAATCTAGCTTATCTGCAAAAACTACAAACCATGATAAAAATTCTTCATTAACCCTAAATGATCAAAGACCTACGTTGCATTTAGATAATTTAACTAAAGAATATAGAGGTCTTTGGGGTCAAAGTATGTCAGAGTTGGATTCTGAAGTAGATGAAGAGAAAATATCTCCTGTATATGAGGAACCTACGGATTTTGCTACAACAATTGCTAGGCTTAGAACGGTTTTACAACAAAAGTCAACTGTAAATACACCTCTGTAAGTAACAGAATGTTATTATACCAATAATATATCACATATATTTTTAACATTATGTTTTACAGACACGTAGAGGAGAAGTCTTATGTAGTATATGAAGGTAGCCAATTTATAAATCTATCAATACCTTGGACAGAATTTCATACAGCTTTTGATGGTTCGCAACAATTACTTTATTGTATACAATTTGATGACGTGGAGCAGCGTGGTGTAGATTTATTCGAAACTACAACTGCTACTGTTAGAAGACAATACCGCGATTTTGCTCAGTTACATGCTAGTCTACAAGAAGTAGGTTAAAACTTAAAAAGTTTTCAAAAACCCAGTTACGAAATTGGGGCAAAGCGAAACGGTGAGACAAACTGAAACATTGTTTTGTATATGTTATTAGTAGTGTTTTGTAATAGCTATTCTAGTGAGTATCTAAAAAAGATGGAACTGCTCCTACTTCCAATATTATATGTTAATGAAGTAAATTGCTTAAAATTGCTATAAAAAAATGTTAAATACAACTTTAATTTCTAAAGTTATGTAAATAATATTTGTATAAATGTTATTTTTTTAGGTTGTCATAGATTATGCCAGAATATTGTTTTTAACTTTGCCCTGGTTTCCACTTCTTTAGTGTACTCTTTTATATTTCATCTTATTTTATCTAATATAAAATATAATTTATAGATTCCAGAATTAGCTCCTATTATGTCAGATTTAATATTACCGGAAGGAGGACGCGTTGAACTAGAAAATTATTTGAAAATATTAACAACGCGTTTAGCTAACGAGTGTCCATCACAATTACGACATTTCCTACGTCCTAGTAGTAGTGCAGGTAAAAAAGCAGATGCAGTTGCACCTCGATTTGATAGATTTTTGGCAAAAACTGTAACTGGTGTTTTCAATACATTGAAAACGGTTGTGCCGGGTTTTGAGATTGAACAAGAAGAGGAAAATGTTCCATTACCTACATTAATGCCTTTAGCAGATATACCATGGAGATTCGTCGAAAATATTAAATCGGTAAGTATATGTTTTATGTCACTATTAAAAATGAGAATTAAAAATTGGAATGTAGGTAAATATGCTTTAGTATTTGGACGGTCTAACTTTAAGTTCCACTTTTTATAAATAAGTTTATCAGTATTGTGTAGAATAGATGTGTGACTTCTTTAATTTCCATTGTGGAATCATAACTAATTGTTTTATATATTTTAAACCAATTAAAAATCAACTTCTGTCATATAATGTCAGATATATGGACCAATATACAACTGTTGACCGAAGTGTAAAGAAATTTCATTCATAGTTAAAAAATTTTCAACTAAATGCCGATAGCTAATGCAAAATAGTTTTCCTTATATGTTGGAACGTATTATTATATTTATCCAACATCACCCTGTTCGGTTTTATAACAAAATTAATTTATTTCGTTGTTATTTTTATTGCAACAGAAAAGTTTAATGATTGAATTGCAACAACTAATAGCTGAAAGAACTGAATATTCTTCAGTGGATACAGCTTACGAAGCTGTTGATTCAATTGAAGGTACCAATGATTCTGCATTATTAGCTCACTGGTTGGAAACTGCAAAAAATTCTGATGAAGGTAAATATAGTGCACTATAAAAATGATTCAATCCAAATTTTTTCTTCAATTTCTTTCTTTTGACAGAAGAAATGGATGAATTGGACTCTCATTTGATGTTAACATGTATTGCTATAGATCTTATCTGTGAATTACTGTCAGGAATTGGCAGTACTAATACTTTGCAACAAGAAGCAGTTGTTAGGTGGACTAAACTATTAATTGGAAATGTGTCTGAACCTATATTACAAGTAATAAATTATTTTTTTACTGTTTTTCGTTATTACAGTAAGTATTATCATTTTTGTACTAAATTGTGAATTTGATTTAATTTACAGACTGCTATTTTACGAGTTTTTGATTACTTGGGTAACATGTCACTTTTTCATAATATACAAAACAAAATATCTGAGGAACCTATAACGGAATTAAAGGAAAAGTTGTTACAGCAATTGTTTACTAAAATCCCAATTGATATAAAACTGATATTTGGTGAAGATGATACATTAAACATTTTGAAGTATTTGCTTGGTTCATACGAAATGAAAAAAATTAATTTGGACTTAAATCTACAGATAGTAGATGTTCTAGCATCACAGTTATTAATTTCATCTAAGAAAACAGCGATTCAATTCCTTTTTTAAATTACATTTATATAGTGTTCAAGTAACATATAAATCATTAAAAGTCATTAATTATTAGACTATAATTTAGTCAAGAAGGAATTGATGTGCCATATGTAATAAGTTTGTTAATGATTAACAATTTAAAACTATATAAAGTTTTCAAAACCAAACTATGTACCTGATTACATGTTTACAATAAGAATGCCAAGTATTTTTTTCATTAAAAAGAAAACGTAACTCTTATGAGTTGGACAATGTATGTTATATGCATATTTAGGTACTATGTGCATTTAAATTATACACTTGTATTTAATGTTTAAGTTTTGTACAAATATTTATGGAAAACTATTATATTTCACACTTAATAAAAATGTACACAAAACCTTAAAAATCTAATATATATTTATTCTTATGAATAATAACATTTGATTCATAATTTAAGATCCCTTCCCTTATTTTGGAGCCTTTTGCTTTTCTAATTGTGCTCTGAAATAAAAAAAAAATAATTAAAGTTTCTGAAAATATTTTTGTCTATAAATCCATGTTTTTTTTTAATGTTACTTTTTAACATTAATCTTTTATTAACATATATAACAATATTTTTTTCAAACCAGAGAATATTTTAGATTATTTCATTGTATTTAATGAAACCTCTCAAATTTATTAATAGCAGTAAGTACAACATACCGTAATTGTTGATTAAAATCATCCTCTACATCATCATCATCCCAATTATCTTCCCAAACACTAATATCTTCGTTGTCCTCATCCACTGCAGTCCAATCTACCAAGTCATTCATTAGAATTAGGGTTAGGTACACGCATGTATATGATTATTATATTCCACTTAACATTTATATCATTACATTACTATACCTTCTGCAGGAAATTCTTCAAACTCGTCGTCCTCCTCTAATAATCCCAGATCGACTTTAGCTTTATCGTTTTTGGTATCCGTCATCGCGAAGTTTTATATTGACAGTTCTAAAACCAACTTTAGGTTGGAAACAACACGTTCAAATGTTTGGTTATTCATGCAACGGAAGATTATATCCAATTTACGCAACGCGGCTAACTTCAGTATATTCTCCGCCGAATATTGTTATACTACTACGCTTTACATTTCATCAGCCATATACACGGTAGACAAAAAATACGTCAATAAGAAGGAAAAATAATATAGTAAGTTGCAATGCAAAATTTATTTAAATGTTTAAATTTTATTTTATTCTGCGAGAATAAATGAGTACATGAGATGCCCATCACAGTGGACGTGGAAGGTATTTGCAAATATAATTTAAAATTTTTATAAACAATTTTTTAAATTTATTATTATTACTGTTTATTATAATAATTTAAAGTGAAAGTTCTTTCGTCTACAGCATTAATCGCTAACAGTTGGCTTATAAATAAGTGAATGTAGTGAATGTTCATCCAATTTTCATCTGGCCATTCTTTGTTGCAGATTTAAACCTTTTTGATTGAATATGACATTTCGCTGGTTTGTCAAATTCTATATTTTTCCGATTTGGCACCTTATAATTTCAGCTTGTTTTAAAAGATGAAAATTTCGCTGTAAGAGATTTAATTTGAATTACAAGAAGGGAATGCCGAATGCGATTACGCAGTTGTTTGAAAAGGCTTACTAAAAATGTTTCCAAAGATGGGGGAGATGATCGCTTTGAGTCCCATAAGCTGTAATCAAACTCGACAATATAAATTTAAATTGTATAACAAATTTAATTTAATATCTACTGACACATATTTATTCCTATACTTGTTAATATAGGTTGAGTAGTACATTCTTTATTTCATTATTTGATTTATATTAAAAGAATTGAATTATTTTTTTGTTCTTATTTCTACATTTTGAAATATAACAATCTGTGAACATAGAAAAACGGTATCAAAATTGGGAACATAGAGATATAAGAATCTAGGGAACCTAAGGATATAGGAATATATGGATTTAGAAATTTGGAGGTTTAAGTGTTCAGGGATTTAGGGATTTAGAAATGTAGAAATTTAGGAATTTAGGAATATAAAAATATAGAAATTCACACTCTGTACCACAAAACACTAACTAATTAGAAGCTAAAGGAACTAATTACAATAGTTTTACGCAGTTCGAAGCCTAGGAAAGTTCCTAATCACCAAAGTAGTGCTTACAGTTAGTTGCTATCTTCGCGATTATATACATGGTGAAGTAGAATGAAGGAATTGTAAGAACAGGTGATGATGCGATAAATATACAAGATAAAAGCAATGTACTCAATTTTGACTACGTTTCCATCGAGGGTTCAAATCGGGTCAGAGTCGGGTTAGAGTCGGATTGGGGTGAGCGCTTTTACGGTGGAAACACCAAAGGTTTAGTTGAACTCTACCCTACAAAATTTTAGGGTAGCGTTCAATTGGGTTCGGTGGAAACGACAAGAGTCGAGTTCGTGTTGCCAACATAACAAATCCAAATTGCATTGTGTATCACGTGCTGTATTAATTGGTGTAGAAGAGGTTATTATTACTTTTTGTCGGTGATCTTGTAATCTGAGAAATAATTTTTGTATGTTATTTTGATATTGTAAAATTAATATTGCTC